TAGTTTTATACTGATATTTTAATTGATTGGTGCTTTTGGTTCTTAAGTGATGAGAGCACAGGCAGTTAACAAAACACAAAATCATGAAGGAGAAAAAAGCCGTTCTGTGTATTTATAATCAATGTTTCCAAACTTCTGTTGAAGTTCTAGTGGCACCAGTATATCTGAGTGTAAATAGTATTTATAGGCATATAGAATAATTATGTTGTGATAGAGGTAGTCTTGTTAATGAACTGATTGACATTATGCTTTTAAGCTTTATTCAGTGACATAAGTCCAGTTTTACGCAGTTCAATGGGAACCATAAATACCTGTTTAAATAAATAATTTAAATAAATGTAAGTTTTCATGTGATAGACAAACTTCTTAATTTTCGTAGCTATTGCATTTGTTTCCTTCTGAGAATAAGGTAGTTGCTAAATGCTGCATTAATGCGCGTACAATTAGAAACTGCTTACATTTACAAATCAGTCACTGTGGAGTATTATCACTAATATAAGATAAATCTCTGCATTAAACTGGAGTACATTTGACATGGCTAATAGAGAATGCGATGAACCTTTCATGAATGTAGGATACAATTACTTAGTTTGCATGATTTGTTTTATCTCTACAGACTAATTAGTTTCTTCAACAAATAGACCAGTTCTCATGCTGATTGATGATAGTATCTCTGTACCTTTCAGGTACTGAGTATGGTGGGTTAAGGATGTATTTTCTCTTGTACATGGTAAAAGGCCTAAAGCAATGTCACCTGATTTTATGGGCTGAGAGACCCTCTGGTATAGCTTGTAATCATAAGAACTAAAAATTTAAAAATTAGTCTGAGAGGAGCTGTGGTGCTTCCTGTTTTTTCTTTAGTTTTTATGTCCATAAGCAAGTAACACTGGTAGGATCACTGGTATAAACCACTCACCCGAGTGCTGCTGCCCTTCTGCAGTTTCTGCACCTTTGGGCAACCGTAACTTTAAGTATTATTATACAGGTCACTAACTGAATTTTCTAAGGGGAGAGGGGAGTTCAATTACAGTAGTTTATATTTCACTACAGCAAACTCAAAATAAAATGTATAATTTGCTTAGCAAGTTAGATTAATAAGCTCTGTAGCTATTGATTCATTTGGAAGTCTGCATGTTCCTTTCCTCTGGGTAGAAAACTTCAGATAATAAGACAAAAAGTATTACAGAAGCAAAGCTGTATTAGAAACAACCTTATTAAGCCACTTGATTGACTAATTGAAAACAGATTATATAATAGAAAAATTAAACCGAAGAATCTCACTGAATTAAGTTTGATTTGTTTAGTTTCAAGCTGAAGTTGGCCTAAGCACACGTTTTGTTGATACTAGAAATTAATATTAGTCTAGTACTTTATATTAAACTCAGTATAAATACATATTTTCTCCATGTTATCTGGCAATATTTGCTCTACTTAGTGAATCTGCAAATACTCTTAGATAGCAAAAAGCTGTGGGCTTGTCCTTAATAGTGACTTCAGCAAAAAGCTGTTTAATAAAATCACCAGACGTGAAAACTTTCTTATTTTCCTTTCATGTTTATTTGAAAGAGAAAAGTCTATAGTCTCAACTGCTGGGATCTGATCTACAGAGCTATAGAAAGATACATATGCTCCAAAAATGGGAGAGTCTCCATATACTTTAGAAAAAGCAGTAATGCAAGCACGTGACCCTTTCTGCTCTGTGAAGTTTGAGATTGCAGACCCTTGGAGTTGAACATCTTGGGATCAATGCAAGTTCTTTCTTACTAAAAGCAACTCAGAACATCAGCTGACCTATAGCTTTATTTTAGTGGTGTTTATCTCATCTTGCAAGTGTTACAAAATCTTTTTCCTGAGCAGACATATGTGAAAAGCTGTTGAAAGTCTTTCATTGAGGAGCTTGTGTCTCTAACCCAGTAGATGAGAAGTCCTGAAATCTTTCAGACTCAAGGAGTGGGGTGTGTGTGAAAGGAAGTAGTTAACAGCAGTTGTATAACCAAAGATGGAAAACAGTCTTTCTAGACTTTAGGAAAGTGATGTTGACCGTCACACTTTTTCAGGTTTTTCTTCAGTGGCTCAGTGCAGCTGGTTGGCACAAGTTTACACTTAAAACTGCCTGAACTGTACATACTTGTTGTTCAGTCATGGAACAGACTTCTCTGGAGATCTTGAATCACAGTAGTTACCTCCTGAAGAATGGCTTAAAAAATTTGCGGGTTGTAGGTGATTTGTTCATAGGAATGATTCTACAATGCATCCAGTACAAGTGTTGCTGTTCTTGCAGTGATACTAATATAAGGACGAGGCATAGTCAGTCATACCAGCAGCCACCTACACAGGCACTAGAAATACACTGATGAAATTCAATAGACTGCTGACATAAGTTTCTGTGTTGCTCATAGATTGCAGTAATTTTTTTTATTGCCTTACTGACATTCCATTGGAAAAGATTATCTAAAAGTAGTTATTCCAGAACAGTCTCAGAATTGCAACTTCTGCAAGTCACTGACCATAAAAGAATACAGCACGTCTTACCTGAAGAGAACACAATATTGTATTAGCTATAGAGAAAAACAATTACTATCTTTGTACCAGACTTTCAAGTTTGTTCCTCTCTGCTGAAAACAACGTAGAGGAATAGATATCAATCTTTGTCACAAATCTTGATATTTTCAGTGATATAGAAAATACAGAGTATTTTCCTTCTGCAGTTTCCTGTTGATGTTGCCAGAAGGTCAGCAATGTGTTAACTTCCCAGTACACTTTAAGACTTCAGAAGATGCTTAGTTTTATAAAACTCTCCATGTACCCTGCTTCCCTTGAATTTAGCAGAAGATTTGTGTTCTTGTAAAGTAACAACAGAGTTAATCCAGTGTCGAGACCTTTCAAAACTCTTATCCTAGAAAACTAGCACTGATTTATACAAGAGGCTAAAGCCTTTAGATCACACCACCAAAAAAGGGAAACTATTTCCAGCATGTTGTTGCCCAGTGCATTATTTATTGGAAAGGCTACCTGAACAAAAGCCAAAATAGTCTCCTAGGAACTGGCTTTAAACAAGTAAATTATGAACAAAATAACAATTTTGTATTCTTCATCTCTTCAGCATTAATACAAATTGTTATTTTCCTTTTCTAAATGCACCCTCTTTGTTCCATGCAAAAATAGAAAAAAACTAAACTTGTAGCTGTTCCATATCCTAGACATCCATTACTTTTAATTACTGATGTGAAAAATGTAACAATATAGGCATACAGGAGGCCAGGGTGCTCTTTGTTTAGTATTTCTTATGTTGACTCATCAGATGTGAGTCATTTTGTGTGGATTCTTGGGTCCCTCCCCCACCTCCATAGTTTGATACTAGTTGCGTTCTAGTTTAATAAAATTTTAAGGCAATTTTTTATCTCAGGAGTTCCTGCACATGCAGTTTGTACTGTTGTTCCACAGGCTACTTGGGGCAACCTTCAGTTTCATTCTTACTGTTTGTTTGCTTTTTCTAAGGAAAGGAGTGTTATCTGTAAAATGAGTCTGAATGGGTCTTTTGTTCTTCTTTTTCCTTAATGAAACTAATAACCCTTTGAGTTAATGTTTGGGGTTTATTTTTAACCTGGCAATATTTTTGAAGTAGACACACTTCTCAGATTAATGATAAAAGCATTAGGTTTCTGTTTATTTTCACTTGGTTTGTATATCCGTTAAGAGCAGCAGAGTTTTTTCTAACAGCAGATTTGCTGTAGTGCTCAGTTCAGCTTCTTGTCTTTTTACCAGCATAATTCATTTTAAAATGTTACATATTTGGCTTTAACACTGTGAAAAAAGGCTCTGTGCAATTACAATATTTGGGGCAGTTTAGAAAACTGACAGTGATGGCATGCCTAGTGCTTAATACTCTATCTGTATTGGCTTTCTGGCTCTCACAGTTCCTTTGTTTCTGTCTAGATAACAAATTCCCTGTGAGGTAGATTAATTTTTAAAGCTTGTGGAAGACACCAAGGGGACTACTTAGTCTGTTGCAAAAAAGCTGAATTTTTATTAGTTCTTTTGCTGAAAAGGTCCAATGATAGGACGAAAAAAATTTTTTTTGGTCCTTCATGTATTTTAACACATACCAGTTTATAGTGATAAATAACATGTAATTTTGTCTGGAGTTTTCAGTTTGTACCATGGTTTCTATTCTAAATGTTTGTCAGCAGTTCATTCAGGAAAGAGGATAATCCCTTCTGTTGAGAAGCAGTATAAAAAGGAGTACTGAAAAGAATGAGCACTTAAAAGGGATAAATGTAGAGGAGAAATTTGGTCCTGTTGGATACTTGAAGAAACTACTACAATGTCTGCCAGAAAAGAAACGGAGACACTGATAAATTGATTTGGATCATAAAGCTAAAGGCTTAGAAGACACTGAGCCTTGCTGGGACTTCAAATACTAAGGTTTAAATAAAGTATGTTGTCACATGAAACATGGCTGGTGCTCCATGTGGAGAAGGGTCAGAGCAGCATAAAATAACTGTAGTAATACTGTTTGGGGTGCACTTGGAAATTAAGTATTATAATAATTACAATATGGAAAAATATGTTGAATTCATACAGAGGTATCCAGCAGTGTCAATCATTTATTCTTTAGGGAAATAGTGTAAATTCCAAAGAAACTAATCTGTATTAACATGAGAGTGTTGTGAAGAAGCTGTGAATGGTTTCACTGATTTAGTAGAATAGGTTCCTGAAATGATGTATAAGCATGTCTTAAGAAAAAAATAAAAAAGACATAGCTATGTCCACTGCTTCCTTATATTGCCCAAGTATTATGTTGCTATATGGTGCATGTTTAATTTACTAATACAGTTTGAGTGAGAAAACAATAACGTATTCCATTATCCAAAATGCATCTACTTGGTAAGCTAACAGATAACACATCAGCTCTAGAACACTATAAATGAGAAAAAATGGTACTTATTACAAAGCATGCCTATATTTGGGTGTTCTAATATTTTCTTTTGATATTGCAGGAAACAGCATACTCCATTCAGCAGCAGACAGTGTGACAAGTGCAGTACAGAAGGCAAGTCAAGCTTTGAATGAGCGTGGTGAAAGGCTAGGTCGAGCAGAAGAAAAGACAGAGGAGCTGAAGAACAGTGCTCAGCAGTTCGCAGAAACTGCACACAAGGTAGGATTTTGGTGGGCTAACGCTCTTAGTAGGTTGAAGTCACATACTGCTTTATTTCGAGAGGAGGAAGTTCTAGAAAGAGCTGCAGTCAGTCACTGTTTACAAACAGCTTGCTATTTTTCTTGATACCGTTCCTTACTTGGCAGGTTTCTGGTTTATAACTTTTTCTGTGTAAATCTGAGGTTTGCTGTATTTCCACTTGAATTGAAAGTAGGTATCTTCACTTTCAAATGCGTCTTCCCACTGCTGTTTGGTACTATTCCTCATACTTTGTGCAGTAGCATAGTGAAATTGTTGTTCATCCCCTTTGATAAGCAGTCTGTGACTGTTTCAGAAGACCTATCTTTTTATGTCTGGGAATGTTATTTATGAGGATTTTGAGAAATTGTTGCGTCTTGGGAATGTATGGACATTACCTGTTCTTAGTGGAAGGTATTGACAGTGCTATGCCGTTACTTCTGCATGTGCATAATGGTGCTGAGCTGTATGTTAGGGAGTGTTTGGACTGTCTAGAGCTTGACAATGGTAATGATAGGGTTGAGTGTTTATGGGTAAGAATCAGAGCAAAGGCCAACAAGGCAGATATCATGGTGGGAGTCTGTTACAGACAACCTAACTAGGATGAAAAGGTAAATTAAATATTCTGTGAACAGCTGGGAGAAGTCTCGCAGTCACTAACCCTTGTTCTCTTGGACTTCGACTTACCAGACATACCTCCTAGAGGGTTCATTCATCTCAGCTTTGTTAGCATGCTATTATCTACAGATAACTTTTTTTATTATTATTATACACAGCCTAAAACTGAATTCTCTGCTTGGTTTGTCTACGTTTTTTATACAGGTTTAACTGACTAGCTCTTTCTCCTCCTTCTCGTTTCCAGTTTTAAGTCCATTTTTTAATTATTTGAGGTGGAAGTAATCTGTAATCACAGAGGTAGAAAGGCAATCAGTCATTAATTTTTCATCATGATGTAGTGGCAGAGCTGCTGAACAGGTGTTTTAAATTACTTGTCTGGAATTTCTGACTGTATTTACCAATCCAAGTCATTTGGTCTGAAATGACTATTCTTTTAAGCATGTCTTTGTTTCTAGCATCGTGCTCTAGCCCTCCTCACAGCAAAATAATGGCACATTGGGAAACACAGCTATGAAAGCAGATAAATCCTGCCTCCTCAGCATAGCCAAGGGAGACTTTGGCCATCTGTCACAATAAAGGGAATGACTGCATATCTGTGTGCAAAGAAGTTACGGATTTCAGGCATTTTTGGAGAATTCCGTGTACAAACTTTTCTGATGCAGACTAGCCATATTAGCTTGATACAGTTATCATTACATATAGTATCTCTTCTAATTCTTTTTTTTTTTTTTTTTTTTTTTTTTGTAATTTTTCAACTCTAATTTAATATTACTTTGCTTTTGCTTTTCTCTTCCCCTGCATCCATTTTCAAGTCTCTTCCAGGCAATATCTGACCTTGCTGTTAATTATTTGCCCACAATTGTGCTAATGGAGCTGGAGCATAATGCAGAGCAATAGTACCGAGCAGGGCCATCCATCTTCAGTCTCTTAAATTATGAAATCTCATCTAAAAAATAATGGAATTCTTCTATGCCCTGCAGGTTCTAGATTCAGATCTGATTCTTTACTTGCAGCTGAGAACTAGCAAGTGCAAAAAAAAAAGAGATCCAAGGAATTTCTCGCTGTCTTTTTTCTTTTTTTTTTTTTTTTTTTTTTATTTTTCAGCTTGCCATGAAGCACAAATGCTGAGATACTGCCCAAAGTTGAAATCTTCCCGAGAGAAACTGAAAAGGCTACTTTCGGCAACTTTTACAGGAGATCCAGACTTCTGTGTGCTTTTTTTCTTCCAGTTCAGTGGAGATGCATTCTTTCAGTTCCTGTGCAGGGAAAAGTGTTGCATTTCTAACTTTTTGACTTTTGTTCCTCTTTTGTAATATTGCTACACAGTCCTGCAGTACTTTCTACCTGTATTTAAGTTGTTACAGGAGTGAAAGCAAACAGGGGAACTGGACCAAATGACCAGCTGATCAGGATTAAAATAGTAATATTCTTCCCCAGTTGTACAGAAAATTATTTAACTGGTTGTGGACATATGTGTGGAAATAAAATCCAAAGAAGGGGTATACTTTTCTTATGTAGCATCAGCAGAGTGTGAATGTTGGAACTAAACACACGGGGTTGTGACTGTAGTGGAGAACAGACTGCTTTGCCCTGGGAAACAGAAAACCTTGTTTCTTCTGCCCAGTGTAGGAAGTTTTTCGTGTGCCGTCACCAGCATTCAGATGTGCATATCTGAATTTCACAGGGGAAACTGTTACCAGTGCTGCATTTTGAATGTTCCTATTTTCCCTTCTGGATTGATTATTTGAATAGTGTAGTGAAACCTACAGAACATATGCTTGAGGTTTCAAAATTGAGGAAAAATAATTTTTACATCTATACACACGTCCCTCAAACACAGTCTAGAACTCAGCAGTCAGATATAAAGTAACATTTCATTTTATTTTTACCTGTGATTTTGTGGCTACGTGCCTGTGTAAATGAGAATGCAAAGGCCTGGGAATATGAGAATGCACTTTTTTCCAAGTCATTTGTTTTTTATAAAGTCTACAGTAGGAATTTTTGGTAACACTTCCAAAATTATCTGATTAGAATGACTTCTGTGTTAGCTAGCTGTCTGATTTTTAAAATAGAGGCTTTCAAAAAGCATGTCTTGGTACATTAGAATCATAAGTTCTAGTTTGGGGTCTCAATTTTCAATATATATTATCACTGGAAGGGTGACTCTACTTCATTCTTTATTCACTGTATGCAATATGTGCATTGTATCCTCTTACAAAAATAAGTAGGTTATTCTTCACAGCTGTTTTCTTAACACTTTCTAAATGTTCTAATCCACTTCTAGAATGAAGAAAAAAAGAAAAGAAAATATGCACTTTTATTTTTTTGTTTAACTGTTAAGCTAGAAACAGAAATCCTAGCCAAAGTTTCAGCCTTCATCTTCTGAAGATGCCTGCTCTTTTTTTTTTTTCTGCCTCATCTTACCGTAGAGCCAGAAAGCTGGCATTCTATGAATGTACTGTAGTTTTCATTTTCAGTGTAGAATAAGATTTTTGCATTATTAATGACACTTTAAGCAGTTTAAAATCCTCAGAGCAATGCTTGTAAGAGAGATAAAAGCTTCTGTAGTAATTGAGAATATCTTAGTTACTGCAAGCTGAAGTAACTGAAAATCTCTTGGAAATACCCATTTTGTAAAAAGTTGCTTGGCTTTACAAAAACATTTGCATTTGAACTAGGAACACTGTCTAGTTAACTGATTGCATTCAAACTTTACATCTGTTTTTTTCCTATAATTTAAACTGCTGTGTGTGAAGCTCTTCACTTAATTTCACACTGGGAATTGAGAGAAGGGGTAGATTTTTCATCTCCATAGTACCATACTATCGGTTAGATCTATTTAGCATCAGCTCTAACAGTTACTACATCCAGCATCGTCAGTTGAAAAGGAATTGGGCCACATCTGTTATAAATCACAACTGGCTTATTAACAACCCAGGTTCTGAACACTCTGTTGAGCTGTGTCCAATTCACGCTTACCCTGGAAATGCAGCTTTCTGAGTGCTCTTGTAATGACTATGGGTATTTCTGCAAGTTAACCAGGAAAACAGACCCTCATTAGAAATTAATGATAGAGATAAAATTGTTGGCTATTTTTTAAAAATAGCTGCATTAGAAATCAGTCAGGGGGTACATTTTTGACCACGTAGCTGTCTTCTGTCATCTTCTGTCATCTTCTGCTGCTAACCTCACAAGTCCTTCTCTTGAAAGAAAGGAATAGGTTTTGAACTGCTGCCATCTAGCTGGTCTTCTGAGCTTGTCAATAATTTAGAAGAAATGTCTAAAACCCAGATCAGATAAACCTGAAAAGAATTAGTTATCTAAATTCAGATAAAAAGGCATAGATTTTCAGGTGTTTACATGAATATCAGCTGAACAGGACAAGGTTAGAGTTGCACTGCTAAGTTCCAGACCTTTTGTGAGTTGAACTTTCTAATATATTACTTTAGTTCCACTGACAGTTTTTCAGATTTTTTTTTTATATTCTCCAGTTAATTGTATTGTGTTATGTATCATAACTCAGGACTTCTATCCAACCATCAAAAGCCATTTACTATGGAAATTCTAAGTAACCTAGTGTTATTGAATGAAGGAAAAGCGGATTGTCTGTGTTTACTTTGTTCTTGCTGTTTGTTAAACTACAAGATTTGGTAGTTTTTAGAAAAAATCAGAGATGTATAAATGTCTATCCAAAGGTAAATCTTAGAGCATTGCAATTTCCTTCGGGAACTTAGCTTGTAGTGTATACAACCTAGTATTATTAGATAGTCATGTACATAACATAATACTATAATTCAGGTTAATGTTTCATATGAATGAATGTATTTGTAAATTGTAACAACATCAATAGTTTCTTTATCTTTTTAAAGTTCTGCAAAGAATAAAAATAATGTATTGTTAGACTTGACTACTGTACTGCAAACTGTCTTAAAAGGCTACTTTTGTGTCTAGCAAAAGTTGTGCATTATGTGAAATATCAACAAAAACATGCTCTCTACAAAGTGATCTTAAAGGTAGGTAGGTTTTGCTATGATATGCCAGAATTGTAATACTTACTGGTATCTATTGTAACCGATTTCTTGAAAGTTCTCAAAGATGTAGAAATTATTTTGTGCCATTCTGGGGAAAAAAGTGGGACCTGCTCTCTTGAGTCGTTACTGGAAATCCTGATTTTGTCATTAAATACTTTAACTGTGATGAAAAGAAAACTGTCCTTGGATTATTTGAGTTGTTTATTCAAAATATAAATTATTTGTAGGTGACATTTTTTATATTTTGCTCTAGCAGAATTATATTTCACCCTAGAAAAACTGAATAAAAATTAATTCTCACTGCAATGATGAAAACATTCTCTAGAAAGAATACTGTAGTTAGAAAAAGAAGTGATGGGAACAGGGTTGAAGGATTTCATGTCCAAGCAGATTCCAGACAACAGTTAACACAGGTTTAAGTTAGAATTCTACCTAAAGGCTGCAAAGTTTAAAAAAAAAAAAAATCAGTGTTAATTTGCTTTCAAATTGCTATGAAATGCTTCTTCTGAAATTGCTGTTGTTTTCTTTTAGCCGTCTAACTTTATCGATAAATTTTTATCAAAACAAAAGCAATTGTAATTGCCCTGTGGGAATAAAACTATAAAAGTAGAATTCTACACACAGAGAAGCAATCCCATATATTCAATTAAGGGCTACTTGCGGAAGAATCATGTTGAATATGAACTGACTGCTGCCATCTCTTTTTTTCAGGCTTGAACATGGTCCCTAGGATCCTGGTCTCAAAAATGTCCTGTTAACAAATATTGTCAACTAATTAAATTATTTTCATTACTAGGTAAATTTAGCTAGAATGCATGTCATCCATCAGGTGTTGAATGCCTCACATGCCCAATGCCCAAACTATATGAAACTTTAAAACAAATAGATCTCTGGTGGATCAAAAGTGAACGATGCAACAGCATTTTGTTGTAGTTTACACATAATAGTTTGGCAGTTCTTTTACATCATTGTGAATTTATCCTGTAAGAATAGCCAAGAAAATGGTTCATTTTCTGAGCACTTTTTTAGATAATTTTCACCATGTTGGCATTTTTTCTTGATCTTATAATTTTCATAAATCATTAGCCTAATCTGCTGTTGTTCATGAGAAAGATGATGGGGTTTGGTTATCTTTGAGTCATATTTTATTATTTGAATTTATTTTTAAATAGATAATTCATGGAATGGTGACTGGCTTTGGCAGAGGTTGACTAGTGATTATAGAGACACAAAAAGTAATTTATTATTTATTTTCACAATGACTGAGCAACTCTAAACTGAGTGTAAAGGTACTGTTACATGGAGGCATATTAGCATGGCAGATCTTTGGTGTTAAGACCAAGTATTCAGCATATAAAAGGGTATAAAAGTAAGCTTATTAGCTAGGGCAGTTGAGTGGCTTTAGAAGTGTAGAGAATAGGTATCTAACAAAATTCTAATTGATACTTTGAACAATTTCACAGGTCTCTAATAGTTAAAATGGTGATAACTTTTGCAGAGAAACTGGAGTTCAAGCCTGTATTTTGTTGAAATTCTGTTGCTGCTAGAGAGGGGAAGGCAAAGAGTTTTCTTCTGGTTTAAGTGTTCTGTTCTGGATAGAACAGAAAGGATTTGTGATAAAAGTAAACCAGAAAATTTTGACAGTGCTTCATACTATATCAAAAAGTAACCTTTAACATATGTAACTAACGTTAATCAGCATGCTGGTTTTCAGCTAAAGCAGTGAGCTGGGGGTTTTCCGACTTCAGAAAGAAGAGACACAGTAAAGCTTTCTTTGGATTAGCATGATCAGAAAATAAGGATTTCTACATGAAGCGCATTGATTTGTGGGAAGTAATAAGATTTTAATGAGAATCCTTCTTTCCAAAACCTTTATCAGTTTTATTAAACCCAGAGTCTGGAAACGCCTATGACAGCTGTGAGATCCTTAGTGTTGTAGGTACAGTTGGCACTCTGATAAAAGGCATTTACCATTACTGAATAGATTCCTACATTTGTTTGAGGCTCGTAGGATGGTCCAGCTCAGTCAGAAGCATCCCAATATTGCTCTTTAGGGATAAGGCAGTGTAATCACTGCTTGTGCTACGAATCAGCAGTGGCTAAATCCTGAGGTGAGGGTGGGCAGGAGGAGGGAAGGGTTGGAGGCTCCTGGGTCACCACATGAGGGAGCTGGAGGAGGTGATGAAGTAACTGCCAAGGGAGCCTGAAATGATGCAGGTCCCCAGGAAGAGGACAGCAGAGGGCTTGCCGTTAGTGTCTTCTCACAAGTGGGTAGAGAACCATCTGCAATTTTAGCAGCAAGTTCTAGAAAAACTTCTTCAGGACAGTCCTGAGGGATTCTAAACCCGCCTATAGAGAAATGTGACTGTCCTTGGTTCTTACCTTACCTGCCCTTTTCTGTTGCTTCCCTTCGTGCAGTGGTTCAGCATTTCAGCCAAGGTAAGAACAGGTCTGTAAGAAGTCGGAGCATTCAAGCCGCATGACAGATACTATTCTTCACTGAGGCCACGAACAATTGCAGAGCTGCCGGTGTCTGACTGAAATAACAGCTGTACGTATAGGATCGTTTGTAAGACAGATGGCTGAGAAAGGTACCATTTATCTGCCGGGCAAGGTTTCATAACTCTTAGCATCCATTCATGAGGAAAGCATCATTAACTCTTAGCTATTTCTAATTACCTCAATTTAGTAGGTGTTAAATTAAAATCCTTTTTTTTCTGAAGTCTCTACATGGCGATCTCTGCAATGGCACTGAAAGAGAAAGAAGTAGGTGGGAAGAAGAGGTTATGTGTTCATGTTCATTTACTGCATATGCTTCAGAGAATCCATTCCTTTTTCTGGCGCAGTAAATGTGCAAGGTTAGTTATGGCTTCCCTTACTCCCTCAACTGTTTTTCCTAGTTCCCACCCTTGTGCCTTATTTCCATATTCAGTATCATATTTTTCTCATTATTCACAAGTCCCTTGTGCTGAGAGGTAGCTCCACAGCTAAACTCTCCAGACTTCTAAGGCCAACGTAAAGTACGATTTTTAGCCCTTGTCCTTTGGGGGTTTGAACAGCTCCTGTTATTTATTGTTATTTATTGACTGCATCTTGTTACCCTTCGTAGATGAAGATGTAGACGTGCACTGCATATAAAATGTCGATACTTCACATCACAAGGGCGAAGTTGTACTGAAGGTTTTTCAGCATGTCTGAAAGGATTTGGGACAAGATTTAATAGTCAGAAATTCATAGTTCTAGATCACCAACCTAGGTGTTACTTCCTTATCTTGATAAAGTTTTGTCACCAAAGTCTGTGCCAAAGCTGTAATAATACAAGATATTTATCTTGAATATAGTATTTTTCATCCTTCTGTAACAGGAGTTCAAAGAGAAATACAAAATTTATTTCATAAAGGTATAAACTGCAGCATGGAAGTAAGTAATTTACAGGAAATTAATGAGCAGAAATAGGATGGAGATCTGAGAATATAAACCCCAGATCTCTTTATTCCTAGTAGAAAATTTCAGGATTTTAATGGAAAACTTTTTAATTTCTTGTTTTGTTAAAAGCATCAGAAACAAAGTAGGCTTCTTACAAAGATTTTGTTTTTTTTCCTTCCTGCTCTGGCAATATAAAATCTTTCATGGTGTGCAATATGCACTGCCTGCAAAGCCCAGTCTGTCATTGCAAAATATTTCTGGAGAAAGAGAGACACCAGAGGAAAGCTGGGCAAAGACAGCAATAAAATCTCATTGCTTCTCTACTTGGATTTTACAAGCACAGCAAGAAGCTGTCAGCTTTCAGGCCGAATGCATTTGTATCACTGCAATGAAAGACCCCAGTTTAAGGTATTTGGGGGAATGTTGTGTGTGTGCCTTTTGTCACAGGCTTCAGCAACTGTGAGGAAAAAATGTCTGTTGCCTTGTGCTCAAACAGTTCTCTGACATTCTCTGGTTCAGTGTAAGGAACAAAAGCATCTCTGTGTCAGAGCCACACAGGGCGCCTTGTCAGTGTCAGCTCGACTGAACTGCCCTTTTGAAACATGTGAACCCTCCCTCCTAAAAGCATGGAAGAAGTAGCTCAAGGAAAAGAAAATAAATCCTAATAAAGCACCAGAAATACTCATATTCTGCAATGCTATATGAATTCATACTGCAAATAGTATTTCAGGCAGTCTAACTTGAGCCATTTTCTTAATTTGGCTGAATGAAATTAAAAGGCTCTTCAAAGTTTTCCCGCATCCCTGCTTTTGGAATTTAGAAATCGGTCATTGGGAATGTCAGCTGAGGTGAAAGAGATTGTATTACAAAAGAACAACATGGAATAGGATGAGAAGTACTTCTAGAAACAAGACTTACCACTACCCATAGATGATACCCAGTAGGGGAGTCGTGCCGTGAACACAGGAGGCACACAAAGACCAAAAAGTCACAGTGCAGAAATGAGATTAGACTGGACCCCTTTGAATCTCAAAGGGCAACAGAACTTGGCAGTTCAGGGAGTGAAAAGGACGTGATTCATGGTTGTCACACAAGAAATAAGTAAGGCAGTCACATAGAGTTAAATTTCATAAGATCATGCAGAGAATTTGCAAATAGAAAAGTAGGCAGACTTTGTTTTCTAACATCATATAGTTAGAACAGCACAGGGTTTCATTTTAAGGCATGCTCTTAATGATTTTAACTCAAAAATTTACAAGTTTCATGCCCTAAGCTGTAAGTAACTTTTCAATTTGTAATCAAACACTAATATAATGTCAGAGGGCTTAGTTTAGCCCAAATGAAAGGCAAACAGATCTCCTAATTTTCATTCTAACTGGTCAAAAAAACCCAAGAAGCTGTTGTTTGACCATCCCTCCCATACAAAAAGATCTTTGCAGAGTTGCTAGTTTAATATTTCACCAGCTTTGCTAAGTTTCCTTGTCTTGTAGTGGGGTTAAGTGAAAACATCCAGTATCTGCTGTCTTCAAATCTAGAATTTTTACAGTTCTGGGATCTGTAAAAATGTTATTACTAAAATGACACAAAGCCTTTATCTCAATTTTGTTATTTTACAGCATAGTTTCTATCTGAAACGCATCATAGTGGGATTAGTGGCTGACAGCTCAAGCTATGCACTGCAATGATTTGTCAAACCAGTGTAGTGTTACCAAGCTCCAATCAAATTCTTTATATTGGTAAATATTAATTCC